AATTTTTCGGAGGTGGCTGTTGTGGGGTTTTTTTAAATTTTTTAATTTTTTTTTCCTCAGAGGAGAGTATGTTTCTTTTTTGCAATATTTCTGAACACATGGTATCAAAATGTTGCAAAAATTTTGGAGATAGCGACGATGCGGTTTTTTCAAGTGTTACACCAAGAGAGAGAAAGAGAGAGAGCGTGTGTGTCTTAAAGAAAGAGAGAGAGATTATTAATTTAATTGTAGATATATATTCTATGTATTTTTTTAGAATAACATAAGTAGTGAAGCCGTTACAATATCAATGAACTGAATCATTATGATGAGCAAGACAGCACGGATGAAATGTCAACAAGGCAAAGAAATGGAAGAATTTAGAAACGGTAAATAAAAATTAATAATAATTAATTTAAAATTTTAAAATTTTTTAATATATATTTTAATTGCATAATATCTTTTAATTATATCTATATAAATCTACATTATACATATAGATATCTAATTAAATTTTTAAAAATTTCAGTGCTTGAAGATGGGCTCGATGACATTTTATTACAAGCACTAATTGAATTTAAAAATCAGGAGATAAAGAAAGAAGAAGGGAAAAAAGATAAGAAACGAAAAGATATAAGTAATGATGAGAAGAAGAATAAGAAAAATAAAAAAAAATAAAATTTGATATGTGAAAATATGAATTCATAATGATTTATTTCATTGATTTTTTTTTCATAATAATTTATATTAATATCTATTTCTAATGTATGATTTAATATGTAATTTTTATATTTAAATTATACGTAATATGTATTTACTATATATATATATATATATATATCTATTTAATGAAAATATATCTCTAATATATATTAATTTATAGATATTTATCTAAAAAGTAAAGTGAGAGAGAGAGAGAGAGAGAGAGAGAGAGAGAGAGAGAGAGGAGAGAGAGAGAGAGAGAGAGAGAGAGAGAGAGAGAGAGAGAGAGAGAGAAAGAGAGAGCGTGTGTCTTAAAGAAAGAGATAAATAAAAATTATTAATTTATTACAGATATATTCTATATATTTTACTGTGAAAAGAATATACATAGATTTCTGATATTATAAGGGAATCAATCCATAAATGTGAAAGTAGGTCACGGTTATATAGATAAATGAATAGAAAAAAATATTTATAAATATGGATACTTACGTTGCAATTTATCTCTTTCCATTTCTTTTAAGACTGCAGGCTGTGGATTGTCAGTAGCCACCTCAGATTGTGGATTATTATCAACAGCCACTTCAGATTGTAGTGGCTGTTTGGCCAAAGCATTGCCCGGCCGGAGTCTTATAGTCTTTGTCGTGAGAAAAATATGTTGAAGTATTTCGCCGCTACCTCCAAACTACATTCTGGCGATCATCACGGTACCAATCGCATTCGTCTACGGTTCTGCGACTGGATAATTAATATCGCGGTGAGTAGCTAAAGAATGCATGAGCGGATAAATCACGTAGGAGAGAAAGAGAGAAAGAAACATAAATTAATTCGCGCTAATTGTATTATATATCAAGTCAAATTTCGTAATAGAATTAAGAAGAGAATTACAACAATTTTTTTTAGAAAAAACTATGTGAGAGGAGAGAGAGATATATTGATTTCGCGCTAATTTGTTTATAAATGAGTCAAGTTTTGTACGTAGAATTGTAGGAAAAACGTTAAAACAAATAAATAAAATTTAAAAATAATTATTCTTGTCGGTGGAAATGTGAAAATTTTGCGATAATTTATTTATTAGATCATTTTTTAAGGATGTAACAAAGGCTCTATCACGCGTTGCCTAATGTAGGAAATATTTACGAAATGCCTTAGGCAAAATTTAATCATGTGGATTTTTTGTGGGCCAAGGACTACGCCCAAATTTATATACAAGAAAGTATTTAAGCTTATGGAGAGAAAAATCTGAATATTGATATTACGTCAGCAATCAAAATACATGATAAATATCGCACAGTAAATTTTTAGTAATGTTGAATATGATCAATTTTCAATAGAACGCAAACTAACAATATTTTAATATCATTTATGAGACTTTAATAATATTTTAGTATTATTATTAATATTTTAGCATTTGTAACATTTTTATTATTAATTTATTATTATTAATAAATTAATATTATTAGTATTATTATTAATTTAGTTTCATTAGTAATATTTTAGTATTATTTAGTGTAGATGCGTAATACGATTTTATAAGCAATCGTTTTGAATAATAAATTATTGCAATCATAAAAATGTACAATATAACAAAGATATAAAGTTTAAACAATATAAGGACAAATAAATGTTAAGTAATGTATATAATTTTAAAGCTGATTGACTTTTACGTTTCTTAACACATATCCTTTTCAATTTATCTACGTATTTACGAATCATTCAAATTTACCGCAGAAATATTATTTATAAATATAATTATATATATAAATATATATAAATTTATATATAGAATATATTGTACATATTTTCTCGACGTGTTTTAATCATTTGTGAAAAAAACTGATTATTATTATTTTATTACCGATCACTATTATTATTTGCGTTTTTTATCTTGTATTTATATCCTTTATGAAAACCATTTGACATATTAATATTATGATTGACAATTATGATAAAGAGAAAGAAAATTCCAGGTACGTCTGGCACACATAATAAAGTGCACATTCAAAGACGTAAGTATATTAATAAGTATATAATTAAAGTTATAATATGTTTATTAATAAGTAATTAAAAAATCTAATTTTTTAAAACTATTAAGTATTATTAAAAAAATAGATGCAATCTTTGGTTTACAATAATTAAAAAAATATATTCAATTTATTTATATTATAATTGTAAAATAGATGTTAAAAATAAAACGTTCCATTAATTCCATTAAAATTTCCGTTAAAAAATATATCTGTTCAATGTACAAATCATTTGAAATCGTAAAGATTAAAAGATACAATCAAAATATTTTTTAGCTACTTTTAGCTATTGCGAAGAAAATACACCTATATTAGTTAACGAAAAGGTCACATTACAATTCATCAAAGTTAACGATAAAAATCAAAATAAATTAACATACATTTTTTTCAAAAATTTAATAAGCCTATGAATACTAATAACGCGATATAATATTATATTTTTTCTTTTTCGAGTTGACAAAAAATAATCACAAATACAATTCGATTCATTTTGAAAGGAGCGTGTAAAAGAGAAGAATACTATATATAAAGGATTCTTTATATAAGATTTTAGTAAAGAGCGGTTACTCGCAATCGTATCATTTCGCGGTCAGGTTCGTTTTTTCGCGATGACATATCTAGATACTGATATTCCAAAAAATTCTTGACTTGTTTATTTTTTTTCTGTTTATGAAATCATAGATGCGATGAGATTAATCGGGATTATATGTTTCCTGTTATTTTGTGGTTTTCTAAGTGCGACATCGACGTTACCGGAAATGATTTCTGAACTAAATGTGCTCATTAAGAGAATAAAAAAGACTAGCAATCGACCAAACAACATCGAATTTAATTCTGATGGTCCCAGTACGGTGAGTTTACATTCATAAAAACAATTAAAAATAATTTTTATTATTTAGGTTAATTAAACTTCTTCCATGTTGTCAGAAAATGATTAAAAATGATCTTATATACATGCAAGTACTACTCAAAATTTAAATTTTTATTCCGCAAAATTATGCTTTAATGATAAAGAAAATATTATTTATATATTTTCTTCCTTTTCAAGAGGCGATTCAATATATTTATTTATTAATATTATTTAACGCAAATCTTTTTTCTATCTTAACATACATATGTAATATATATAAAATTTATACATGGTATTATGTTTCTTACTCTAATAATATTTATTGCAGTCTAAAATAATTTTAAAAAATATACATACATACAATCTATATATATATATATATATATATTTATATATATTATATATATATATATATATATATATATATATATATATATATATATATTATAATTGCAAAATACACATTAAAGTAGTCATTATAATTTTAAATGTAGTAATTCAAAATATAAGTATGAAAAGGAATATTAATATTTAAGTTAATTTCAGTTTATCAGTTTCATATTTTATGAAAGAACCATCCCCAGCAATTTTATTATTTTCAAATTACCTTATAATCTAAATTAAAACTAATGTTTATACTTTGATTTAATTTTTAAATTATATTTTATTTATTATAATTATTTTATATTAACTCCTCATGTTCGATACACGAACTATATAATTTACGCCGAACACCGCTCGCGATGATATCACTGTTTTCGTTTTCGTCTCATCTCGGTCAAATTCGGCGTATTCCGAAAAACACGGACGAGTGGGAAAATGAGCCTCGATGATCTCCATCGACGTGTCCGTGAAAACACTTCGTCTCAAACAGTCGCGCGAATAACAAATAAAACAGTCACAATAGGCGAGCGAAAGAACGACATTGTACATCGATCTACTCGGCACCGTAACAATAAATCTCGATCTTGAGAATTAAAATTAATTGCATGTGTTACGTGGATTTCCCCGTCACATCACAGTTGGGCGAGACGATACGATTAAAATCATTACGGACAGCAAATTACTCGCATCACACATACGAGATCACATATTATTTCGTACAAATTATTGGTCCTTCGAGCCGGATTATATTATTCTGAAAAGACGGTGTATACGAGTGATAAGGTCGAAGCAAAGGTGCAACGGGCACGAGGAAGTTCGTTCGTCTACAAGGCAGACAATTTGACTAGGAAGGAAGTAAATAAGGCGCATGCTGCCGGGCGTCGGGTTGCATTGCGATACATATTCGCGGATCGCTGAGGACGATTCCGGATTCGGAGCAGCATCCCGAGCAGTAACGTGGCACATAGACGCAAGTAAGGTGACGACGTGACTGGTAAGTCTGTTTATCTGCACCAATCAATTATTACGTATTCAAGTTTGGATCACGCGATTTTGAAATTATGCCTCTCGGTCATAGCCCAGCGGCGGGCTCGTCCAGCGCAGAGACGCCTCGTGCATCGTCTAATTTAGCCGATTACAAACGACGGCGCGGAATGGTTAAGGGCTCATGCACGCGTATGGAGACTTTTTTAAACAATATAGTCACATTAACCGACGATACCCGAGCGCAGGTAGAAATTCGTCAAACCCGTCTAGAATCGTTCTGGGAGGATTATTGTAAAATACAAACGCAAATTGAAATGATCGACGCGGAGGAGTCAAACGATAGAATCGAGTTCGAAGATTCATTTTATGCATTATGTGCGCGATTTCGCCGACTTTTACAATGCGACAATCAATCGAGCGCGCGAAGAGGTTCCACGCAGAGTTCGACAAGAGTCGAGAGCGAGGCTATATCTCATGTACGATTGCCAAAAATTAATTTGCCAATTTTTTCGGGAAAATACGAAGATTGGTTTCCGTTTCGAGATACTTTTATAACGATAATTCAAAATAACACGTCGTTGAGCGATGTTCAACGGTTTCAATATTTACGGGCATCGTTAACGGACAAGGCACTCGACATTGTGAAACCTTTAGAAATTTCTGGAAACAATTATGACCTTGCGTGGAGCCTCTTAAAAGAACGATACGATAACAAACGCGTGATTATACAAACTCATGTGCGGGCAATATTTGAATTGCCAGTTATAACAAAGGAAAATGCGATCGACCTTCGGCAATTAGCTGACGGGGCATCGATACATATTCGCGCGTTAACGGCATTAAATTGTAATGCCGATAAATGGGATGCTTTGCTTATTCATATTATAACGTCTAAATTAGACGCAATTACGTCGCGTGAGTGGCATGCTTCGTTGCAGGGCTCTGAATTGCCCACATTTAAGGAGCTAATTACCTTTCTTTCACATCGCAGTCAGATTCTGGAAGAATCCGCGAGAAAGAGTTCGATCTCGTCCGTTCGCTCCGACTCTCGATCGCAATCGCGTTCTAACGTTGGACGTCAAGCATTGCACACGACTGTCGAGAGGGGCAAGTGCAATTATTGCGCCGGCGAGCATTTAATTTATTTTTGCAAGGAATTCTTGAAACTGCCAATCAGCCAGCGAATCGCGGAAATGCGTAGCAGGAGAATGTGCCTCAACTGTTTGCGTAGTCAAAATCACATTGCAACCAAATGCCCTTCTGGCAGTTGCAGAACGTGCAATTTAAAACATAATACGTTATTGCATATACCCAAGAATGAGAGAGAGATAAATAACGCGGGCGCGTCGTCGGTGCCGATCGACTCGTCGCCGATCGCGGACGGGCGATCGGCCGTCGCGACTCACAGCGCGGTCGAGCGAAGCGATACGGAGGTGTTGCTCTCGACGGCGATCGTTTATTTATACGATGCGAACGGTGCTCGCAGGACATGCCGTGCTCTGTTGGACTCAGGGTCACAGGTGAATTTCGTGACAACCAAATATGTAAAGTTGTTGGGTTTAAAACCGCAATCCGTAAATTTCTCGGTGTCAGGCATATACGGTGACACATCTATTTCGAACGAAAACGTAGACATCAAACTACAATCGCGATTCAATTCATTCGCGGCTGAGATCGAGTGCATCGTGGCGGAGCGAATCATAAGGGACAAGCTTCCGTTAAACACTATTAAACGTGAAAAATTCAAACTGCCTTCCAGCGTCGAGTTGGCGGATCCGCGATTCAACGTGTCGTCGGACGTCGACTTGTTAATAGGCGCCGATCTATTTTGGCGATTGTTGTGCGTGGGGCAGATTCAGGCGACTTCCGGGTATCCGATCCTTCAAAAAACACGTTTGGGGTGGATTGTGGGCGGACGCGCACGCGTCGGTGCATCGCGACCGGAGACTGGGCTGCACTCGTTTCACGTATCAATTAGCAATTTAAAACTTCACGAACAAATCGAACGATTTTGGCGGATCGAGGAGTTAGGCGATTCGAGTCATTACACCAAGGACGAGCGCGCATGTGAAACCCATTTCATAAACAACGTGTCAAACAATAACAAGGGCAGATACATCGTGACGCTGCCCATCAAAAACGATATTTTGCAAAGGCTGGGAGACTCGCGCGAAATAGCAATGAAGCGATTCCTCGGTCTTGAAAGGCGACTTCATCGTGACTCAAATATGAGGACTTCATATGTTCAATTTTTACGCGAATATTTAGCCTTGGGACACATGCGACTCGTACCCGCACATGCGGTCGATAGGGAATCCGTTTATCTGCCTCATCATGGGGTGTTTAAGGGGATCGGCCGGAATGCAAAGTTACGTGTGGTTTTTGACGCATCGTGCAAAACCACGTCGGGAATTTCTCTGAATGACGCCTTGATGATAGGTCCTACGGTTCAGCAGGATTTAATATCAATTATCACTCGTTTCCGCACGTTCGCGTACGTCTTTACTGCAGACATAGTTAAAATGTATCGACAGATACTTATCCATGAGTCACAGCTACATCTGCAACGAATATTGTGGCGCGAGAACTCGAATTCGCCGGTCGGTACTTACGAGTTGCTTACCGTTACTTACGGCACGAGCTCGGCGCCGTTTCTCGCAACGAGATGCCTTCAACATTTGGCACAAAAACATGCCCTCGATTATCCTGCGGGGGCGCAATGCGTTCTTCGGGATTTTTATGTAGATGATTTACTCGCGGGCGCCAATACATTGTCCGAAGCGGAGCGCATTCGTGACGAGGTGATAGCCTTATTAAAGCGCGGACAGTTTGAGCTCGGCAAATGGTCATCGAATTGCCAAGAACTGTTACAGGGCATTAGTGACACAACGAGTGCGGAGGTGTTATTAGGCGATGAATCGAGCTCAAAAATATTGGGAGTCGCATGGGATCCGTCCAGCGACGGATTTCGCTTCGGATACAATTGCGGCGCACCGACGAGTAGCATAACGAAACGGACGATCTTGTCGGAAATCGCGAGTCTTTTCGACCCTTTGGGTTTATTAGGGCCACTGACAGTTGTGGCAAAAATGATTATGCAAGATACGTGGCAGTCTAACGTCGGGTGGGACGAGTCGTTGCCGCAGGATTTGCATCATCGATGGCTGAACGTAAAGCAACAATTGACGCGCCTTTGCAAATTGCGTGTGCCGCGTTTTGTCGGATTTCGAGCGGACACGCACAGATCACAGGTACACGGCTTTTGTGACGCGAGCGAGCGTGCATACGGCGCGTGCGTATACATAAGAACGCGCGATTCCGACAGATACCGGGTGGAACTTTTAATTTCTAAATCACGAATAGCACCAATTAGAGCAGTTTCGTTACCGCGACTAGAATTAAATGCCGCGTTATTGCTATCACATTTAATCGAGAAAATTCGCGCATCGATTGATTTATCGAAATTAGAGATAATTTTATGGACGGATTCCACAATTACTATTCAATGGATATCGTCGCCGTCGCGTAAATGGAACGCTTTCGTGGCCAATCGCGTCGGTGAAATTCAGCGCCTTACCAGGAGATCGAGTTGGCGGCACGTGCCGTCCGCTCACAATCCCGCGGATATATTATCGCGCGGCGTCGACCTGGCGGGCTTAATGCAATCGACAATTTGGTGGAACGGACCTGCATTCCTGCAGTTAACTGAGGAACATTGGCCGGTCAAATTATGTGTCGACTTGTCGGGCGAGTTACCGGAACAAAAAAGGGTAACCGCAGCGGTGATAGCCATACAACAATCGATCGTACTAAATTTGTTGGACAAACATGCCACTTTAGACAGGGCATTGCGAATCATCGCTTACTGCCTGAGAATAGCGCGTTCGCGTACGATCAAATATCAAACAACGTTTATTTCGCACCACGAAATAACAGCAGCTCTGCGAGTCGCGGTGAGATGCGTACAGAGACATGCTTTTTCAAGAGAGCATAAACAGTTGACCGAGGGTCGGAGCGTTGACGGCGGAAGTCGCATTCTGTCATTGACTCCGTTTATGGATGAACACGGGATCATTAGAGTGGGGGGCCGAATAAGCAATGCAGCATTGCCATACGACGCGCGGCATCCCATGCTATTGCCGAAGAGTCATCGATTGACGACCTTGATCATACAGCGAGAGCATGTAAAAAATTTGCATTCAGGCCTACAGGCCACAATGCATGCGATGCGTCGACGATTTTGGCCTCTGGCGGCGCGTTCGGCTGTTCGAAAAACAATTTACAATTGCGTAACCTGCTTCAAGTGTAAGCCGGTTGTATCGCAAGCATTAATGGCAGATTTGCCCGCGCAACGCGTGACGGCTTCGAGACCGTTCACGCATAGCGGCGTAGACTATGCCGGGCCCATACTCTTAAAAGAGGGCAAGAGACGTAATGCCAAATTACACAAGGCATATATATCGGTATTCGTTTGTTTCTCGACCAGGGCCGTACACCTCGAAATTGTAACCGATTTAACATCGGAAGCGTTCCTTGGCGCCTTTAAACGCTTCATATCACGTAGAGGCAAACCGGCGTGCGTATATTCAGATAACGGCACTACGTTTGTCGGCGCGCGCAAACAAATAAAGGAGCTGTATGACTTGATTAACGACAACGACACGCAGCTTGCAATGCGGCGTTTCATGCGTGATAACGAAATCAATTGGCATTTTATACCACCCCACGCTCCACATGTCGGGGGCCTGTGGGAGGCGGCCGTAAAGTCGGCGAAATTTCACATTAACCGAATAATAGGTAACGCGAATCTCACATATGAAGAGATGCAAACCGTGTTATGCGAGATAGAAGCGGTTTTAAATTCGCGACCGTTGACGCCGTTAAGCGAGGATCCAAACGATCTGCATTGTATTACGCCGGGACATTTCTTGATTGGTGCAGCGCTAAACAGTTTCCCAGTTGCAGATCTTACGAAGGAAAATCCGAGCCGACTACTGCGATGGCAACGCGTAGAACAGCTTCGGCAACATTTTTGGAAACGTTGGAGCGCCGAATATCTACACACTCTAATCGAGCGACAAAAATGGAAAGCTAGCAAGGGCCAGCAATTGAAAATCGGTCAGCTCGCCATGGTACAGCAACCAGGCTTGGGACCGCTGCAGTGGTTAACAGGCAGGGTGCAACAACTTCATCCGGGCCCTGACGGTATCGCGAGGACGGCCACATTAAGGACCGCAAAGGGTCAATTAACAAGGCCGCTAACGAAGCTAGCTATCCTTCCGATAGACGAGGCATCTGCCGATTAAACGCGTGTTACATATTGTAAAATTTTAATCATGATTTATTTGATCAATTTTGACTTCGAGTAGATCGATCGCGAGTTAATGAAGATAACAATTTATTGAGACAATTTGACGAGACAAATTTGTTTATTGTAAATTATGATGTGCGAGTGTGTCATTTCAAGTTCTATTTATGTTGCTATTTATTCTTTATTTATATTTCAATTTAGGACACCACATGTGCATCGAGAATAATAATTTACGTGTTGAAGGCATGCCCTTCAAGGGGGGCGGGATGTTCGATACACGAACTATATAATTTACGCCGAACACCGCTCGCGATGATATCACTGTTTTCGTTTTCGTCTCATCTCGGTCAAATTCGGCGTATTCCGAAAAACACGGACGAGTGGGAAAATGAGCCTCGATGATCTCCATCGACGTGTCCGTGAAAACACTTCGTCTCAAACAGTCGCGCGAATAACAAATAAAACAGTCACAATAGGCGAGCGAAAGAACGACATTGTACATCGATCTACTCGGCACCGTAACAATAAATCTCGATCTTGAGAATTAAAATTAATTGCATGTGTTACGTGGATTCCCCGTCACATCACAGTTGGGCGAGACGATACGATTAAAATCATTACGGACAGCAAATTACTCGCATCACACATACGAGATCACATATTATTTCGTACACCTCATGTTTATTAAAAATTTGTTTTATACTTATATATTTTATATTATAGAAAATAATTGATTTATTTGAAAATAAATGTTATGTATATTTTGTCGCACAAATTTCAATTTATTTCAACTTTAGATCTAGTGTTATAAAAAAGCAGGAAAAATATATTTTATAAAAAAGCCACAAAAAACTGTTTTTTTCGGAAAAAAAACAGAAAAATATTGGAATGCAAAAGTGGCGCTCCTAGCGATAAAAATGAAACTACTAGTTGTATTTGTATTACGTTTTACGTTATTTATGTTCATTTTATTTCATATGTGATAATATTGTCTAAGTCACAAATGTGTTACAACTCATAACACTAAAATATTTTTGTTTATTTTATATTATTATTTTATAAAATTTTATTATTTTTAATGTAAAAATAAATGATTAAAGTCAATTTACTCAATTTTTATGTTTGTTTTGTTTTATTATACATGTTATAAATTATAACTATACCTATATATGTATTTTCATCTTTAACTAATCATTCTTAGGAATTATAAAAGCCCCTACGTCCGCAATAATAATCCAGCCAGCATTAAATTAAATAATCTAAAGAAAAAATATTTTTCCATATTTTTCCAGAAAAATTATCGAAAACAAAAACCAAAAAAAACGTTTCTTCCATATTTTTTGTTTTTTTTTTAGATCTATTTTATTTCCTTTTGTACTCAATTTTCTCTTTCAGACGGAGATGATAAGAAATAAAGGTTATCCCGCAGAAACTCACGTTGTAACGACGGAAGATGGCTATCTTTTGACGGTACATCGTATCCCAGGTGGTAACAGCTCTCTACCAGTATTACTAATACATGGTCTTTTAAGTAGTTCCGCCGATTTTTCGTTCTTGGCAAAGGCAAAGCACTCGGTACGAATATAATTATAATTTATAAAAAACTTATATTAAATAAAGAGTCTCGGGATATATCAGCATTAATAAAAGATAATTATCTTTTATTAATGCTGATATATCCCGAGACTCTTTTATTTCGATTGTAGCGAAGCATTCAAAAATATTATACAATCTTATATAAAATAATATAATGTTATATATATGTGTAAAATAATTATAAGTTACGTAATAAGAATGTTTCTTTTTCGCATGCTAGGTTTCCTATTAGCGGATGAAGGATACGATGTTTGGTTGGGCAATATGCGTGGTAATCTCTATTCAAGAACACATATTTCTCTATCTCCGTCGAACTTGACATTTTGGGATTTTAGGTACACACATAAAATCAAAATAATGACTTTGAAAATGACATAATAAAAACGCAACAACTAGATTGATTTATATATGATCACTTATACATATATAATTATATATACAAATATATATTTTTTTTATTTATTTATATATAATATATATATTTATATATACTCAGTCTAAAAAGCGGTACACTTAAAATTTGGAAAAAAATCACCAAATTTCAAATAACAATAACATTGTAAATAATAAAAATAGAAAGATTTAAAAAAATGAAAATAATCCGTTATTTTTAATATCTCGCAGCATTGAAATGAATAAATTCTTAAAGAGATTCCAAGCTTTATTTTTATTTTTTAGAAATCTTTCTGTCTTTATTATTTATGAAATTATCGTCATTTGGAATTTGGTGATTTTTTCCAAATTTTAAAGGGATCCTAAATGATGTTTTTACCGACCGAATGCGAATATTTAGTTTTTATTAATAACTTTTTATTGACTTTACTAATGAATAAATCCTTTTCCACGATTAAAGTATTTATAAAAACGAACCGCGTTAGCTATAATTGCATATATAAATCATATAAAAATAAAAAAATTACAGTTTCGTTATCGACTTCTTTGTGTCAGTTCGTAACAATACTTATTTAATAAAAAAGTACTGCAGTTTGTCTGTGCATGAAATATAGTATACGCGGTAAGGATAATATGAAGAATTATTAGTAAACGATTAAAAGTGAGATTGCGAATCTAATAAAAAAGTTATATATTAAAAACATTTCACGCATATGTGTGTGTGCAAATCGAGGCTGCGGAATAAAACAGAGCAGTAGATTAGTTGCGTGATATCGTGATAGATGGAGCTGCAACGTGTTTCTCTCTCTCTCTCTCTCTCTCTCTCGCTCTCTCTCTTTCTGTTTTTATAAGGTCTGTTCGTTTTGGCTACACTGGCCACATTAGTTCAGAGGTTGTCTTTTTTGTTCGACATTGGAAGGAAAAAGATAACCTCTGAATTAGTGTAGCCAATGTATGCCATTATATATTTTATGTTTGATAATATAAATAATACATCATTTTTTCTATAAAAATTATATATAAAACAGAAAAATTTTGTGTTATTTATATTATCAAACACATGAAATATATAATGACATACAATTTTATTTTAATTATATTTGTATAATACAATAATATTCACATGATTTTTATAGATAATAAGTATATGCATTTATAATTTATAAAAACTAAATCTTATTTTTCATACATCGAAGTAATTCGAGTAATGATTTTACTGAAATATATATTTGATAGACATTGTGATTCTAACGAATTTTATTTGTTCGCATATACCTGTAAATTGTTATAAAAATTACTTTTACTGTAAATGTAAGATAAATTGTATGCAATCTATAAAACAAAAAGAGAGAGACAGAGAGAGGGAGAGAGAGAGAGAGAGAGAGAGAGAGCGAGCTTTTTTTACTTTCCCGAAAATAGAGACATTCAATGCAAACGGTGAATTGTATATCTCTTTACGACACGTACAGCCGGGGAAAAATTTTTTATATATAATATATAAAATAATTGTATAATTATACATATAATTTTGCGATTATATGTATAAAATTATACAATTATTTTAATATAATTATATATAAAAAATTTTTTCCCGGGTTGTATGTGTCGTAAGGAAATATATGTATAATTGATCGTTTGCATTGAATGTCACTATTTTCTGAAAAGTAAAAAAAGAGAGCTCTCTCTCTCTCTCTCTCTCTCTCTCTTTCTTGATCCTTTATGCTTATTGTTAGTATTCTATCAATTAGTAATCAATGCAATCAATCATATCGTTTTACGGCAACAGCCAGTTACTCGTTCACTCACTCATTCATTCTTTTAAAATATGTCCATTTTTATACATAATTATGTAAATTTATATATAAAAAATAAGGGTGCATATATAATCATGTCAAATTTGTATATAAAACATATATATTTATATATATAAAGAAATACTTATTTATTACACTTGTATATATATATATATATATATATATATATATATATATAAATTATTAATTATTATATAACAAGCACTTTTACTTAATTATGTATAGACATATTTCATAATATAATTCTGCGATTATACGTATACTTTTATATATTTCTATATAATATTATATTATTATATACACAAATTTTTGTCCCGGGGTATTTTAAACTTTTATTTTCTTTTCTTTCCCCATTCTTGTCTGTCTTTACATGCATGTTATTATGTTGTATGTGTATCATGTATAATTTGGATTTGTATGTATGTTGAGAAGATTGGAATAGATAAAATTTTATTACTTCATGTTTTTATATTATAAATGCAGCTTTTTGTAAATATCCGAAATAAATAATTTTTCTACAAATATTTTAAATTTATCAAAATATTTTTTACTGCACAATTAGACTAATATATTTTGCATTATTCTATCTTTATTAATTTTTTCATAATAAATGGATTTTATTGAACAAATAATAAATAGTAAATAGAGAAAATATAAAATATCGAAAAGAATATATTCATATAAACATATATTTGTGAAATCGAAATTTTGTTAAAATTGACTTTCATAGAAATTGTATTTTATAAATTTAATTAAAAAAAGCTGCATTTATCAGATAGAAACATAAAGTAATAAAATAATATATTCCAATCTTCTCAACACACACACACACACACACACGCACACAACTTCTTATAACAAATGTTATATAAATTATACATATACAGGATGTAACAACGATCATATATCAGGAGTTTTTAGAAGAAAATACGTATTTTATTGAAAAATGTTTTATTACCAAAGTTATAAGGGTTACTTATCATTACATAGTAGTATTAGTATTATGTTGAATAGCATTATCAAAGTCACATAAAGATTATTTGGAAATAATGGAAACCCTCATTTTATTGCATGCACAGAATGAAAAATTATTTAGAAAAGCTCTCAAAGTAAGCTACATGTATGTACATGCAATAAAAAATGAGGGTTTCCATTATTTCCAAATAATCTTTATGTGACTTTGATAATGCTA